TGATAATCCAGCTTTTAACTGGAAGACTGAGTTGCTGCATAACCCAGTATTTTACGTTTTGCGTGTTGATCTGGCTGAAATAATTTATTACATTTTTGTTGAAAACACGTTTCACATAACTAAAATAGTTAAAAATTCAAAAACATATATGCTTACTTTGTTAAAATAATTATACGTTTGTTGTTGAAGAAAAATGTCCAAAATACACAAGCTTGTTGTCTTAGTTAAAACAATTTAAATGTCATAATTCAGTTTTCTGATGTAGCTACAAAATGAATTTGAAAAAAAGATCAGAATCACTGCTTTAAAAAGTATAGGGTGTGCCTTCTAAAAATTAAATCTAGATCTATAGGTTGAGAATAATACGTATTAATGTTATATCAAACAACAAGAACACTTTTTAGAAAGCAGTGATTAAATTGAGGCTTCCTGACCAGTGATTTAAATCATGATTTTAATCATGTGTTAAATTGATTTCATTTACATCAAATCCACCCTGCCAGTTTCCTTCTCTCCTCTGCTTCCTCTGGCCAGTAGAGCTGAGAATCTGTCTTGTGCTGCTGCAGGGAGTTGGACAGGCACAGGCACAACTTATTTTTATGCTCTGGGTATCATCATCAATAAAAGGTTGGGTTATAGACCTGCCTCTGATCTCTGTATCTGATGTGGGTGGTAGGAATGCCTTCCCTATCACAGGGAAATGGAGGAGCCATGGGAAATGGGGACTGCATCGTGACTGGGTGAACCACAAGAGGAATAAGTAGAGGAGGTGTAACTGTCCCTGAGTTTTGTGTCTCAGCTTGCAAAAGAGCCCTGATCACAGACAGGCCGCAGTCTTGTCTCAAAAGACCGAACAGTGCCGGGTTCCTGGTAAGAGTCCCCTGCTCCAGGCAGGACTGTCCCTGACTAAACCATCCAACCCCGTGTCTTTCCAACCTGTCCTCAAAAACTTCCAGGGATGGAGACTCCCCTGCGTCTCTGGGGAGCCTGTTCTGATGCTTGACCCACCTTCAGAATCACAGTTTCTCATCTCCAGTCTCCGTTTCCCCTGCTGCAGCTGCAGGCCATTGCTCCCAGTCTTGTCCCCTGATGCCCCAGAGAAAAGCCCATCTCCATCCTCTGTCATTGCCCTTAAGGGATATGAAGGCTGTGATCTCATCCCCACCCAGTCTTCTCCAGACTCGGTTACCCCAGTTCTTTCCCTAGCATCAGTCTTGCTTCCCAGGCCCCTGATCATGGTTGTTGCTCTGCACCTGACTCTTTCCACTCTATCCAGTCTTTCTAGAAGTGCGGGGCCCAACACTGCACATGTGACTCCAGGGGAGGCCTTCCCAGTGCTGAATGGAGTGGAAGAAACATGGCCCTGGATTTGCAAGTGATGCTTTGGTTCATACAGCCCAGGAGGCTGCTGGCACATCAACAACCCACCAAAGTGAGAGAGTTTGGGGGGGGGTCTCGCTCCTGGAATAAGCTTTTCTTGCTTATTCCTCTTCTGAATAGGGCCAGAGCATCTCCTGAGGGTGAGGGGGAGCCTGGGAGGGAGGTTGTGCTTGAGCTGGGTGGCCATGAGAGAGCCTGGTGCATGGAGTGAGCACCTAGCCCATGAGATGCCTCAATGCTGAGTCCTTCGATGCTGGGAAGGCTCAGAGCTGTGGCAGTTGAAGGGCCTTTGGCAGCTGGGGCCCAGGTCTCCTGACAGCTGATATCCTGCAAGCAGCAAAAGTGGAACCAGTCTTCGGAGATGGGAAGCATTCACGACTGAGAGCTGGGGTTCGCTGAAGTGTGCAGTGTTGGGTGAGAGTGCATGTGTGTGTGAGAGAGAGGGGGAGAGAGAGATCTGAGTGTCCGTTCCCATAGGTGGATCTCAAGGAGAAGGTGCCTCAATCCATCGCAGACAGCTTGAGAGAGGGTATGAGAGTTGAAAGGCCGATAGCTCATCCTGGGTGTAATTACAGCACTGTTGATTGTGGTTATTATTGTGTTGTTGGGATGGTTGCTTTGTTTGATGTCCCTTTGAATCAATACTCCTTTCTCCCATTAGTGTGTGCAAGTGGGTTTTGTTTAGGGATTCAGCCAACTACTCGGGTCCTCTATACACACCTGCCCCAGTTCTAAGTGTAATTGTTGACTGGTTTCTCCAACAACAGATTAGCCATCCAGGTAGAAGCCAGCTTGCATAATTTGAGTATCCATTCAACACAAAGGGCAACCCAACTGATCAGGGGCCTGGAGCAGCTGCCAGGCCAGGAGAGACTATAAAAAAAGCTGGGACTCTTCCCTTTAGAGAGGAGAAGGCTGAGCGGGGAGAGGACAGATGTCTGTCACATCATAGAGGGTGAGGACCAAGTGAGCATGGAGCTGTAGTTCCCCAAGCCCCAGAAGACTAGAACCAGGGGGCACCCACTGCAATGAGTTGACAACAGGTTTTAAATGAACCAGAGAAAGGACTTTGTCATGCAACGTGTCTCTAGCATGTGGGATTCATGGCCACAGTTGGGGGTGGAGGCAGATAGCAGAGCAGGGGTCAACTGGATGAATTCATGCATGATGCATCTAATGACAGTTGAACAGGAAAACTGGAGATGTTTCCTCGGGCATCTCTGCTCCTCTAATGGTGGGTACTGGGGAGGGAGCTGCATCTGCTGATCAGGGATTGTGCCCGTGCAACGCACCGTGTGTTGGCTCCTGAGTGGAGGAATACTGCGTATATGCAAGGTGTAATAGCGGAAGACTTTGGATCTGGGTGTCTCTGCATCTGCCCCTGGCTGGCTATTCCCAGGCGTGGCTTGTGCACGTGCTGCCCTATGCAGTGCCTGATCTACATCCCTGCCCTTGCACTCAGACCCACCATGGGGTCAGAAGGGCCTTGTCCAACAGGCCAAGGGAGACCTGGGGCAGTGAGGGCAGTGCATAGTTTTGGGGGGAGACTGGGAGGGAAGGAGGGGTGCATCTGGGGGTTCCTGTGCCCCCCAAAACACCCAGGTCTGTCCCAGAAGGGCTCAGAGCCAGTTGTGCCAGTGGTGAAATAATGCATTGTGGGATAGCAGTAGGAGGACTCTGGTTTTCACATGGGCAGTGGGAGGCTGGAACAAGCTTTGGATGGGCTGGAGGGTGCCTGCAAGGTGCTGTGAGGGGTCGGGGCAGGGGGGCAGTGTTCAGGATGCCTTGGATACACAGGGGCTGCGGGGCCAGGACACAATGGTCCATTCCAGTGCCCCAGAGACCCCCACGATGGCTGTGTGTAGCATGGGCCTGCCTGGGCCCCACATCATCGGGGCTGTGCCTTGGAGTTGTGTGGACACGGGGCAGCGCCTGAGCCAGAGAATGGAGACATTGCAGCAGGTGAAGCACAGTGGTGGGGGGCACGTGTGCGTGCATCTGTGCATGTGTGTGTATCTGTGTGCCCATATCTGTGTATACATAAGTGTTTGCATGTATATGTGTTCATGTGTGTATGCATGCATGTGTGAATCTACATGTGTGCATATGTATATGTGCATGTCTGTGTGTGTATGTCTGTGTGCAATCATAAGTCTGTGCATGTGTGGCAATAGCTCTAAGTGCGTGGACAAGGATACATGCAGAGAACAATGAAGATTCATCCTAAAGCCAGAGAGAAAAGTCTGGCTCCTGCATGAAGCCAGCTGGTGCAGCGAGGGCACCTTTCCCACTAGGCCCCTCTCAGCTGGGCCAGGGGCCTGACCTCAGAATACCCCATGCCTCAGTTTCCCCCCCCTGCAACCATACCCCCTCACCCCATCACTGACAGGATGGCAGGTGCCCACTGTCTCCTGCTCCGATATGTGCACAGCTCTCCTGACAGCGCAGGCTCCTACCCACCTGGCTGCCACCCCTCGGGGCCTGGCCTAGCCAAGCCCCCTCTGCCTAAGGGTCCCTACAGCCCCATTCCCCCACCACATCTGCTGGGATCCAACAGCCCAGGGCTCAGCAGTGCCCCTGCCCATGTGCAAAGGGGCCAGGGACAGCAGGTGCGGTGGGGAGGGTTGGGAGGGGCAGTTCCTTAGGGTTTCTGGGAGCAGGGAGGAGCTGTGGACTCCGAGCCATGGCCTGGTGCCCATATAAAAGTGTGATTTCTTGGAAATCAGCTCGGATCCTGCCAGCACCTGCGGTTGCAGCTGGCAGAGGGCACCCATACTTCAGGAATAGGGGCTGGGAGCCTGGGGGCAGGGACCATGAACGGGGATGGGAAGGGAAGGGGTGTGCTGGGTGTCCCAGGGCTAGGAGCTGCTAGTGGCCGGGGCTGTGGGAGCCAGGAAAGCTGGTCCAGCACTGACTCTGGGATGCAGGGAGGCAGGATGAGATGGATGCAGGCCATCTCCAAACTGTGCTGCCAGATGCTGTGGATGGGAGCTGACCTTTCTTGTGAAGACAGGTGAGAGAGGCATTGAGCACTGCAGCTTTTTCTGCATCATCTGTCCCTAGGTTGCCTCCCCTATTCAGTAAGGGACGCACATTTTACCTAATCTTGTTGCTGACACAATGCTCTAGGCGATGGTGTCCAGATGGGGGATCATGTTTGTCACTCTGCTGGACTCTTTCCAATCTGTCCACATCCTTCTTGAAATATGAAGACCAACACTGGGCCCAGGGCTCCAGGGGACACCTCCCCGGTGCTGAACAGAGGAAGTATCACCGCCCTTGATATCCCTTGAAGTCATGTTTCCCAGGTTCCTAATCCTTTAGACACAATGGTAAAAATGTCCCACATCCCCTAATTAGGAAGAGATTAATGTACAGATGTTACATACAATACAAACCTTCCCTACTGTGACACAAGGAGATGAGATGTGTGGAGAAGGGGGAATGTCCCCTGTTATAGTATCCCCCAACCTATTCATCTCCAGAGCTTGGTACCCAGCTGCAGCTGGTCAGCAAACAGCAGCCGCTAATAGTCAACCGGAGCTGGGAGCCTGGGGCCAGCTGGACGTGGTGACAAGCTGATGAGAGTGGAGCCACAAGGAAGGTGAAAACCCCAGGAGCACAGAGCTGTGGGGGGAGAGGACAGAGCCCAGCCAGCCCTCTCCTCCTATGTGCACAGAAAGGAAGGGAGGTCTGTGTTGTTTGGTTGTGGACCCAAGGCTGTGGTGGCAAAGACAAAACTGTTCTGGGAAACTAGGAGCCGGGCTGACAACAGGCAGCAGGGAAATTAGTTTGCTTACCTGGGAGGGTGGATCAGGGATTTTGGGAGCAAGGTGAGGGGTGGTATAGATTACGTGGTGCCTCATCCTATATAGCACAACTCCCATTTTTCTCTAGGTAAAAAGAAACGACAAGTGTCACTACTATGCCAGGGGCCTAGGGCTGTCTCTCCAGTTTCCGATCAAAGAAAAAAAAGAAAGAGAACTTTATTGACAGGTATGCTCATTTGCTGGATGGAATATTAAGTTAAAAACCACAACAGACCAGGAAAATAATGCAAGGATATTGTTTGATTGCTCCTGTGGTCGGGAGAGTTAAATGGGCATCTCTCATTCAGATTTGCACAGCAAGAGGTACCCTTCTTCAGCATCTGGATGCTGCCTCCAGTGTGTCTCTGTCAATCACTTCCACACTTGAGTTAATATTCCCCAGAGGTCACATTACCTTCCCTGAGTTCAGTTTTTTAGCTAGGACTCAACCCAGTCTGCAGGGCTGTGAAGCAGAGGAGAGACATGGCCCAGCATGGCTAACAGATAGCAACAGTGCAGAAGCTGATCAAGGGAACACCAAGTCATCGGTTAAAAAGGTGAGTGGGGTTATTAGCACCTGAGATGAGCAGGAGGCAGGGTTTTGTTTTGCTTATTTAATGAAAATGTTCTGTATTCCTAGCCAAATTAGCCAAATCAATTCCAAATCTGAGGCAGTCCAGAACCATAAGTGGGCCTACTACTGGCAAACATCCTCCACCTCCGCCTGGGGCTTCCGATGTTTCCAAATCCTTTGGCAGGCATCCTATTTGCAGGCCCAAGCCCAGAGACTTGGGGTCTGCATGCCCTCAAGGTTCGCTTGCCCGTATCCATAAGGCCGCAAGAGCAAGCTAGGGAGGAGCCTCCCATTTCCATAAAGTGGGTATAAAGCCAAGATCTTCTTGCTCGAGCACCAAGTGGGAGGTTCACTGCACATTACCTCTGCAGGTACGACCCCATGCCAGGAGAGTAGTTTTCCCTGGGTGCGACTAGGAAAATCGCTGTGGTGGTCACGGCATTTCCCTGCCAGGGGAGCGGCGGGGGGGGCAGTAGTGCCAAGTGTTAACCTGATTAGGGAACACCAAGGCCATTAAAAAGGAGAAGGGTCATTAGCACTTGAGACAAGCAGGGAGCAGGGTTTGTTTAAATAAAAATATAAGCAGGTAGATGATAATGAGCCATGAAGTGAATTGACTCTCTCACTGCTGCCTGGATAGAAACATTGCTGCCCCTCTGCTGGCTTTAAAGTTTCAGAGGAGCAGGAACGAAAGGGAGGTGCAAACGCACCACCGTGCACTCGTCTCCACCCCCCCCCCACTGTACAACTGCTCTTGGCCCTTGGGGTTTAGCTGAATTACTGGCAGTGGCATTCACATGCCAGCAGCTTGTGTGTTTCTGTGTTTCTTGATGATAATAGTCGTGTAACTGTGGTGCTAACACGTGATTCCTCTCTGCCTCCTGATTGGAGACTTCACCTCCAAAATCAGGGTCAACAGTAGAAACCCAACACAGCTTGCTCTTCTTTGGGGATCCTCCACCTGGGCACCCCTTCCTCCCCATATAGGCCCTGAACTGTACCTGAGGGAGCCTGTAAGGTGGTACTGCTGTCTGCCTGCACCTGGGGCTTCAGCCCCTGAACCCAGTTGCAGGCAGTCAGCAACTCCTAGGATGCCAGGCAGGGATGCTGGGAGCCAGCAGCAAGTCTGGATGAGGGTGGAGCTGTGCAAAAGGGGGCGAGGGGGAAGGCTGTGGTGCTGAGAAACACAGAGCCTGGGTCGCCCTCTTAGGGTCTGAAGAAAGACCATGGGTCTTGGTGGATCCGTCTGCACCACTTACTTTATTGTTGGTTTTGTTTTTGTAGGGACAAGTCTGCCTGTGGAAGTAAACTGGGTGGAAAACCAGGAATATGGAGTTGACCGGCCTTGAGAAGGAAGCCGGCTGAGAGACCCTCTTGGAGACCCCCTCACACCCCATCCCCATCCCTCCGGTCAGCCAAGAGCAGCCTCCCCCACAAGCACCATCAGTGCACTGAGTTTGCAGGGCAAACCCATGCTGGAGCTCGTTCTTGGCTGTCACTCCTCAGATCTGGAGCTCCCTCCCCAGGACGTCCATTATAGCCCAAGCTTGTTTTTGTTGTGTATTTTATGTGAATCATCTGCCTGCTGCTACAAGTGCTTCTGTCTCCAAATGCAGGTGCCCTGAGCCTTTGTTTGGGCTGGGAAGGGTGGCACATACATCTAATATTAAAATAAACAGAATAAATGCAGGTACTACTCTTCTGTGGGTCTATGGCCCTGCCACACAATGCCTGTATTACACTGTTTACTGGTGAATGGCACCATAAACATAGACTGGCCACAGCAGAGTAATTATTATGCTCTAAAAATGGGTCTCCAGCTACAAAAAGAGCCCACCTACTGCAAAGTTACTGCTTGAACATGTGAAGCAGCTGCTTCCTGTATAGCTTTAATCTGGCAGTATGGTAGGGCCTTACAGAGCATCCCAGCAGGACCTTGAGATGGTCGGCCAGCATTGGAGACCAGTAGAGACTGGTGCAGTTCCCAGGAGTCCAGCGGAGATGATATGATTTGGGACTGCTCATCTCACTGGCCCAGTAGCTCATGACACAGCTCCCTGCTGCTCTCCCCTGACCTTTGCTCTCATCCCCCTGTCGTCATCAATGAGCCCCAGAGAAGGGAACCTCCCAGGCTTCACCTGGTGGCCAGAGAGCGAAGCTTTTCTTTCTCCTGCTGTCTGTGAGCTGCTCCTGATACCATATAGCTCCTATTTCATTGCCCTGCAGACTGTCTTTAACTCTCTCTCGCAGCATTAATTCAGGAGTGGAAATGTTAATTCAGGTGAGCATTAACTCAGATGTGAAAATAACTTTCAGTGAAGCATTGGAGGCACTGTCAGGGTTCTCAAGGAGGCAAGATTTTTGGTTAATGACCAGCAAGAGATGTGCATTACTTCCAGTGGCTACAGGACCAAAGAAGCACCCCAAGTTGATCAGTTTTTTGTCAAGTTGTTGTGTTTTTAATACAGTGTACAATATAGCATGTTAGTGCATCTCCCAATTAAATTAGATTTGCTTTTGCTTCAACCTTAAACTGAATAATATATCTCTTGGTCCATGGAGGCATCCATCAGCCAGGGCTGTCATCTCAGAGCCTGAAGCCAAGATAATGTCCCCAAAATGCATCCACTGCTCCCCCATTCTGCCTATCCATGTGGCCACTCATGATACTAGAGCACAGATCTGAAGTGGCTCCAGGGGTCCAGTCATGAAGGATGAAGGGGCCTGGGTCTTAGGTTGTATCCTCATCCACCCTCCTGGTCAAGAGGAAAGACCCTGGAGAGCATCATCAAGGAATCCACTTCTCAGCACCAGGAAGATAAAGTGGTGACCAGGAGCAGCCAATGTGGGTTTGTCAAGAGCAAGCTGTGCTCATCCAGTCCCATGTCCTTCTGTGACAAACCGGTGAGTGATGAGGACAAGCAGGGAATAATAGGTAGGTC